TTTCCCACACATGTCAAATCCYTTCTTTTCCCTGYAGTTTTGGAAACATGCTGAGTAATGGCAATTTCTGAGCTCCATGTGTTACTCATACTGTAGACATGGTGTGTATCCATATGAAACCTCTCTGCCAGGCTGCTGATCTTGGGTCTAGGTGTTTGTGGTTTAATGCCACTAAGCTTAGTGGAGGATTTCTGAATTTTCAAGATCATCAGTGAAATCAAGTCTGGCCATTATTCTTTCTGAAGRTAAAGCAGATTCTTGTAAGGTAAATTTCTAGAACAGAAGGGAACATGTTATCACTCACTCAAAGGTTTTCTGAGTGGCCTCTTGAATTAAAATTGGGAAGGTGTTCTGTTTATTTGTTTTATTTTACTCTAATTAGTTTTAATTCTTCTGCCAGTGCTTTTAGTTAACTGTGATGAAGTAGAAATAGTATCTGGTAGGCATGCGTATTGGACTGGATATTGGAATATTTTATTTCAATTCCTGACCTTGCTGTCAGCCTACCATGCTGCTTTGGGTAATTTTATTTCGTCTCCCTATCATTGAGTTTCCCTTGACTGATATTTTGGAAATTAACATCATTGGCTTTTGATGAAATATTGTCCCGTATTTAATTTGAATTTTCTTGTGAATTATTAACCACATGATAGCTACTTATCTTTTAAAGCATTTTAAACCACATGAATGAAAAAATAAATAGATAAATATTGCTGATTTTTGAAATGTACAGCCACATTGCTCAAATGAAAGCCAGCTAAGCCATTTGCACTTTCTYAATCTGAATATCAGAGCCCCATGAGGGCCAGCAGAGCCAGGGCTCCCATGGGGCTGTCAGAGCAGAGCTGGGCAGCTGGGGCCTGTCCCACCACCCTGCCAGGAGCAGGATATCTCAGGCACCTCCATGAGGAGAGRGATGGGCTAAGGACAGGCCAGAATGTGGGTCTGCTCTGGGAGAGAGAACTGTTCCATCTGCTCTGGGGAACAGGAGAGCAGCCCTGCTGCGGTGTTGCTGGGGCAGGGGCTGATGGGCTGGGGGGGCTGACATGGGGTCCTGGGCCATGAGAAAGTGGGGGAACCCAGGGGCCAGTAGGGACAGCCAGACTTGGGGGTGCCCTTGCGGCCCACATACTGGATGGTCAGGATTTTTGTCTTGCATGTTTTGGAAGTATTTTCTTTTTTGCCAGGTACCCTGATATCCTGGGGATATGAAACATGATGCAGAATTCAGTTCTTGCTGCATTATTGCATTAAAAAAATAGTCTTTCATAATTTAAGAAAAATGTATCTGAAATAAAATTCCATGTCTTAGATTTCTAAGCATGACTAGATTTCTCCCCTGTGCACCAGTTGTAGCTGGTAAAATCCCCAATGCCCAGGTCTGCAGAGCCCTGTGAAAATATCTCGGGATGAAAAGTGCCGCCATCCCGACGAGTGCTCTGTGTGGTTCCTCAGAAATGTAACAAATTAACAGCACCATTCATTAGTTAACATATTGATAGTTCTAAAGGAAGGGAGTCACACAAYAATTTTTTCCCCAAACTTCTCTCCACACAAGGCAAAGCCACTTCTTATGGAAGGCTTGTTGAAAAGCTGGTCTGTGTTTTCTCTTCAGCTTYGGCTTCTGCCCTTGGCTCACGTTGTGGGGATCGTGTGCACCAGTCCTTGCTAGGAGCTGCCTGAGCAGAAGGAGCTGAAGCACGCTGGTATCCAGGGAAGGAGCGGGAGGCATGAGTCTCTTGGCAGGATCGGCGATGACAAAATCATTTGGGTTTTATTTCTCCAGTCGTGAAATATGCTGACATTATAATGTTGCCAAAACTTGGAAGAGTTAGGGAAGACAAAGTGTATCACAATATTCTATGTTTTGTCCACCAATCTCTTATTTCTTTTTAACATAAACTAGTTTTTAAAAACTCAGTCTTGGATTCCAAGGCCATTCCTTRTATCAACAATAATCCGTAGCTCAGTATCAAACTCTAAAATAAAAAAAAGAAAAAAACCTAAACGTTTTCTAATTGCTTCCTGTAATATCCATTTCTGCTCCAGTCAGCTATCTCTGAACTCCCTTCCCCACACATACACAAATTATTCAGGCTATTTTACTGATCAGCTTCCATCAATGTAATTGCTTTCTTGTGGAAATTTTCACACCCTGAAGTGCAATTCTCAAGTTTTATAGCACACAGAGCATTCCCATTTTCAGAGCTGTCATATAATTTCTTCTTGCTCTAAACCCATTCTCACTCTAATTAACTTTGTTAGTAATACACACATTGGGGAATTTAGGTAAGGGCAAAATACCAAGGTAATAAACACAATTTATCTAGATCTAAGAAATGGAAAACTTCCATTTACCTAAAAGCGCAGTGAAGATGTGGAATAGGTGGGTTGCATTTACAATTGAACTGTATGAATCCAAACTTTCTTGGGCTTTCCCAATCCCTGTTATCATGCCTATATTTCTTACAATTAATGYTTCTAACCCCACTGTGCTCTGTTGAGAGGAAGAATATCTTGAACTTTGATGTCACAGAAGGGAAGATGGAACACTTAGTGTTGGCTCAGACAGGATTTTGTGGTGCTTAGTTTTGATGCCTTGTATCATAGGATAAGAGTTGCTGCYGAGGTTTAGGTTGTCATTCTTCACAGGCTGCTATTAAGGGAACCTGCTCAGGTAAGGATTTAGAGAAAAGTTCCTTAATCTCTAAAGATGTCCAATTTTTCAGAGTAGTGAAGTTAATTTTCTGGTGTCTTGTGAGGCTGCCTACAAGACTGAACTGAAGAMCTGGCTGATAGGAGATCATTTCTCAGCTGCACAAGTGTCTCTTTCTGCCAGAAAGTACTGGATTAGAGCCCAGCCCTGGCCTGGGCTGTGGAGATGCCTTTAACCATCCACGTTTTAGTCCCCAAATTCTACTAAATAATTTTCAGAAACTTWAAGATAGAAATGACAGCTGATATATCGGTAAGAAGAAAACCCAAGTATGAACACAAAATCATGATTAAAAGTATCCCAGCATCAGCTCTGCATWTGTATTTCAAACGCTAGAAGATTCTTCACTAAAATCTTTTACAGCATCTGTTGGCACTCGGTGTAAGACCTTGCATGTCCCTCTGGTGCAGCTCTTCCTGACACAACCTGGCAAAAATCAATTCTTGGCCACAGCTGCAATATGTGTGTTTGTAAGGTCTGTGAGCCCCTGAGCTTCCTTCGGCTCCCCTGGCAACTCACAGGGGCTCTCAATTCCTTGGAGGCACTGGTCCTCTCTACAAACCTCTGTGGGGTCACATCAAAATTYCTGCAGCATTCAGGGGGGCTCCAAGCAGCTTTAATAATTTCCATTAGTAAGTTAGCTCCATTTAGCAATGCAGTTTAGTGTGGAAACCATCTGCAAGTAATCTTGTTTAGCTGTATCACTTGTACTGGGCAGGCTGGAAATGGAAATGCATGCACCAGAAGCCAACTTTGTTATGTAAAATGGAAAAAAATACCATCAGCACCATCACCAGCAAAACAACCATTGTCCATTATTTTCCCTTGTACCCATTAAAATTAAGYTGAACAGATTCCATGACTCCTGAAACATGCACTAATTTCAGAAATGTTCCAAATTTTGCCAAGTTTCCCTTTGTCTTATGGGAGCTGGCTTCGGTTTTTGAGCACAGTGATCCCACATGGTTCATTCAGCC